TACATCTTACAGAAGGAAAACCGAAAGAACTGCGGATGCTGTAAATCAGGAACAAAAACAGAAGTTGCTGGAAAAGCTCAGCAGGTCTGGCAGCATCTGTGAAGAAAAAAAGCCAGAGTTCATGTTTCGGGTCCAGTGAGGAAGGGCCAAAGTTGCTTCTGAGGAAGGGTCACCGGACCCAAAACGTTAACTCTGATTTTGTTCTTCACAGGTGTTGCCAGACCTGCTGAGCTTTTCCAGTAACTCCTGTCTTTGTGGCTACAACTTCAGGCCTGTCCTATTGCTGGTGTATGACATTTACACCATGAGCCTCATTTCTCACCCTCGCCCTCCCTGTCTGCCATTCTTTATTAAGGTCTGCAGGTCCAACATTTCTGTGGTGGCTTTTGCAGCATGAAAGGGAAGTGCTATCCTTGATTTGTGAGCACCATGTTTTTGAGTGAGATCCTTTTTGTTTCCCGCAGAAATTTCTGTGGCAGGCAGAAGTTGCCATTCCCTGCATCTATCATTAACTGACACACATATGCTAACGATATGCATGGCATATTTTGTCAGAATTCCCACAGTTTGCAGCCCCTTGGATATTGTTTCCATTGATGTAACCTAGACACAGGTAAATGAGATCTAGCGTCTCTTGGCAGGGTGTTCCTATTTAGTGGAAGTGATCCACGAGCAAGCTTATTGCCTGGAAAATCTTTGTCCATTTCTTACATCTGTCTTTTTATTTGAGGAGATTACTTGTTTTCTTTTTGTTTGCTTTGCAACCAGAGTCAGGCGCTTCCTGGATAACAGCTAATTTTTGATTCTCACAAACAGCAAGTGTTATTAACAAGCAGCATGGGATCACAATGGAAACTTATCCTTGAGTAGCATCAACGAAGGATGAAGTCAACTGACTATTATGAATGATTTTCGTTTCATGAATTGAATGAGTTGTCACTTCTATTTAACAAATAAACACAATAAAAGGTGTAATATGTTGCCATGCTCCAGAGCCGTTTTGACTTACAGAAGATCTTAAGATATAAGACTGAAATTAACATATAAATCTTAAATATAAATAAAAAACAGAGTTCATCATCCTTCCCTCTTGTGCTCTGCTTGACATCAAGGGGGAGCGGGCGTCTCCGCAATGGGCTCTGGGCCCACCAATGCCCCTGCATCACAGTCCATTCCTGGAGTACCAATTCAAGCTATTGCATTGCCACAGCTGAAGCCCTATATCTCCGATTCTGATGCCAACCACAGGTGTAATACTCTCCTGTTCCTCTCATCTCCCTGCCCCCAGTGCATCTCTCAGATCTCACAAGAAACTTATTTAAGGAAACACCAGATGACATGCCAAGTGACCTGGAGCCCCAGTCACAGAACTGAAAACTTCTTTCAGTGATTGTAAAGTCAGATAATTTCAATCTTTTCACCACCAGCTACATTCAGGCTGCAATTAGGGATCAGTACAGTGTTTTCCAGAGAACTGTCTGCATCTGCCCAGCTCCCAATCCATCTTGAGGAGGTCTGAGGAATTCAACTACTTCAGAATGTATTAAGGATTTTCCATAGTTCAACTTTTGCACCATGAGGCTGTTCTGGTAGAGATAGTAAATTTATCTGGATGAGTATTTGAAATGCCCAGGCACAAGTATAGATAAGTGGGATTAGTGTAGTTTGGTGTTTGTTGATCAGCATAGACATGGTGGGCTGAAGGGTCTGTTTCTATGCTGTATGACTGTATGACCCTATTTCCAAAGTATTAATTCCAACATTGAATTGCCCAATATTCCTGTAGTTAGCTGTGCAAAAAATTAATGTTAGTAGAGATTGATTCTGAATTATTATGAAGTGTTCATTGCAAGGATATCCAATTGCCAAGATCTATTCAGGGAAGACAGGAATTTTGTTTTGGATAGGATCAGGCAGTGAAGTTATAGCCCTTTCTTCATGGCTAATGAAAACTTCTTATCTCAATACAATAAAACCCACTAATCTCCAGAATGATTATTGAGGGGATTACTGGCAGTCTGAAGTCAGGATTTACTTGTTGTGGTTAACCTGGAAGGGCAATGCAGTATGATTCTATGCAAAACTCTTTTGCTATGATTACTTGCTGCGCTTTCAGATGGGACTGGATATGTGGTCTCAGGAGGAGGTGACTGAGGCTGCTCAGGAACATAAATCTCAGCCACATACACGAATATGGGAACAAGAGTAGGCCATTCAGCCCACCGAACCTGCTCCACCATTCAGTATGATAATGATTGATCAAATACTTCAGTGTCTTTCACCAACACTGTCTCCATAACCTTTTACGACACGGTGATGAAAAATTAATCAACTTTTATTTTAAATATACTCAAAAACTCAGCTTCTACAGACTCTTCGTTCATTGGGAGTCATCAGCAAGATATTTTCTTTTAGCTAAAGTGCCTTTAAACGTACTATATCGCAACTCATTTTTTCTTCATTCATTATGTACATAGACATCTTCTTTCCAGGGCTTCATTACCTCAATGAGGCTCATTGAACAACAGGCCAAGTTTACAGTTTCTTGTGGAACGATAGTAACTATAGTAAGTGATTTCAGGTATGACAAAGGGAGGCCTCAGGTGGTAGGCCTCTATAGACATGACCAGAAGGTCAAGTGTTAGAGGAAATCAAAACAGAAAAAGCTTGAAAGACCAGTGAGGTAGCAACTGTGGAAAGAGAAACAGTGGCGGGGGGCGGGGTCAATGAATCAGACTTCTTATTTGAGATTTCCAGCATTTTCTGATCTTATTACAGACTTTTATCATCTTTTGATTCTTCTTTTGTAGTAAGAGGGCCTTACAACATAATTTGGTGTTATTGTATGGTCCAACGTGGAGGAAAAGCTTATGAAGTGGTACTAAACAATGGTTTCAGGTGAAGGAGTTGGAAAAACTATCGGTCACTAGAGCCCTGCGAATGAAGGCTTGTCATTACATTGAAGTGGAGCTCTGTGCTATTTCACTAAGATGACATTTTGCACAACATCAGCCAGTTTTCACTTCCTTCCAGCTTTTCAAGCAAACTTTCTTTAAATCAGGTATTCAAGCCATTCTCACCTTTCTTAGTCATTTCTAATTCTTACTTTTGTTCTTCATCTTCATTGAGGCCAATAGAAAAGATGTGGAGGTGCCGGTGTTGGACTGGAGTGGACAAGGTTAGAAATCACATGGCACCAGGTTATAGTCTAATAGTATTTTCAAATAAATCCAGTAGAAAAAAAATGTCAGGCATTGTGTCTAAACAGTGTCCCTTTTGGATTTGTGTTCCCATCAAAGCTGAACTGGACCTGTGCTGTATTTGAACATGTAAATGGGTTCCTAACAAATTCCTATATCCCCGATTTTAACATACGTGTGGGCACATTCCGTTGGAATATACAGTTTCCAGTATGATTTTAACCCTCAGCGTATTCTCTAACCAAAGATATCTTTCACAAGACTTGCTTAATTGAGCCTAAACAGAAATTGCTGGAGAAGCTCAGCAGGTCTGGCAGCATCCATGGAGAGAAAGCACTGACCCTTCATCAGTCACTTAGCATGAGGGTATTATTTACGTGATTCAACATAATAGAAAAGGACAAATACAAAAGGTGTGTATTTTGATGTAAGTATGGTCACAAATTCTAAATTCTAGGATTGACACAATGTATGTTCATTACAATTTTCTTATAAAATTTTGTTACAAAATATATTCCTGTTCAACAGTGATATATCAAGAAGCTTGTGAACATTTTATGTCCTGTATCCATCACTACTTTTAAGCATTTTTTTAATATTATAGTTACTCTCCATGTAATTTTAATCCTCAAGATCTTTTGCTTCTACCACTAACAAATTAACTTTTTACTATGATTTTCAAGTAAGGTTAATGTTAAAGTTAATTTAAAAGTTAAAGTAGTAATTCTACAAGCCATTTGGTCCTTTAACTGTCAAATTACAGTACTGAAGTGGATTGTATCGCAGTCTCTAACCTTTTAAATGTATGCAGAGCATCAGCATATTGGGAGATGTATAATTACATCTTGGCTTATTCATAGAAAACAAGTTCAAAATCATTTTTATCTTTGAATGCCTGCAGGTCTTTGAAGTGATTGCTAATGTTTGAACTTTTCTCTGTAATTTTATTATATCCCTTTATCTATAATTTTCTTCATAATGTTAATGTCACAGAATATTATACATAGATGTATAATATATACAATCTTTTGAAGAGTTGAATTATTTTTTAAAAGTGCTTAAGCTTTCATTTCCTTATGTTTCTCCTTGTTTTTTTCTAAACCTAAACACCGAACAGATGAAAACTTGCAAGGTTAATTATATATCAAAGTTTATTATAAGAGTAATTTGTGTTTTTTTTAATGATATAACACCCAACAGGTAAGTTTAAAAATTAATTTTCTCTGAATGTTTCTTGCTTAACTATTAATTGAGGGATCCTGTTACTAGTATTAATTAAGGCAAAAAATAGCAAATCAAAGCAGTTCATTTCTCAGTGCTATCTATTACCTTATACTGGTTACATGAGCTATCGGCTGTGCCTCCACATATTCCCTGGGTTTGAAAGTCGTGGCCTATCTGGTGTACTCTTACTACAAGTTTGGCACGAGTTCAATCAAACAGTAACAAATAAGCCTACGACCCAAATATTTCTCAGCAGTTTCCATGAGGTTTCACTGGGATCAGTTATCAACCAACACTGTTGAGTCAAATATATCAACAGCCTCTTGAAGAGATCAAAGGATTCTCCCATGGCACCCGTCATGCACCCTTTCCACCCATCCCCTTGGAATCCAAGAGTTCAATTTCAAAAGCTAATTTACACAAGAGTGTGGCTGTGCAGTAAACAGCCATTTTTGAAGGGGAAAGAAAAATACTAAAGTGGAAGGAAGAAATGTGAACTACAGGATTAGGTTGCAGTGCTTTTTTAACATTGGTAATGGATTAGTTCTTTACTGATATCATGTTTATATTTAATAGGATGTAGTGACCAATGTTTCTCCAAGAATTTTACGTGGAATGACCTCTGGCCCTGTCTATGGCCCAGGACAAAGCTCCTTTCTTAACATTGAACTCATCAGTGAGAAGACATGTGCATACTGGTGCAAAAGCATTACTGAATTAAAGGCTGATTTCCCAAATAATGTGAGTACCATAACATTGTTTGAATTTTCCCTTAATAGCACATCCTGCATTTACTTCCTATGTTCTGAAGGTGCACAGAACTATGAGTTATTATCTTGCCTTGCAATCTATAACTATTATTAGACTTTGCTTCACTTAATGTTTAATGCAGTATTCTGACAGCTTTCAGTTTTCCAGGTACTTTTTCATTTGCGTAACACAGGATTCCAGCTCACTTTAGTTTTCTATTAATGTATTATTACCTAATATGCAAAATAATCTGGGAAGTAATCCTGTGAGTGAGACTGCTGTTGTTCATTGTCTCTGGATTGTAGAGAGGATTTTCGTAATGCTGAGATGTTACTTAAGAAGATAATAAATACCAGTGTCATACTAGACACTCTTGTGACTCTTGCTGTTGAAGCCAGTCAAACAGTTAAGCGGACAAACACTTCAGTTAGCTTCCTTTGATTCCTGCATAAGTTTAAAATGATTTATTCTTAGAAGGGCTAGCTAGTAATTTCTGGTGGGTTCAATTCTAATAGAAGCAGTTTTGCATGTTATGCCTTTCAGCCTGCATTCCATATAATCAGTTTTAAAATAATTACAGCACTTGTTATTTTTTAAACCATCCAAAGATATACTAAAATAGAGCCTTTTATGGCTTGAAACTTGACCAGTCACCTCTTTAATGCTGAAGTTCCTTAAATATGGTTATCATCTTAGACAACAGCTTAATAATCACGAGATTATTAACCTAAAAGGTTAGGGTGTTTATTATTTCCCATCCTAGCTTCAGTGGGAGATCAGCAGAAGATTTGGAAAAGTGTCAGCATCAACAATTCTCTACCACTTCACTGGAATTAGTTTTGTTATTGTTTTGGTGAAGTTAAGCCAAAAGATCAAACCAGCCCAAAGGCAATTTCCAACCCCAAGATCTTATGCTCATAAGTAAATGCACAGAAAGTAATTATCTCCAGTTTTTGTTGGTCAGGAGCCATAGGCTTTACTTTTTATTTTAAAAGCAACAGTGTAGTAGCAGGGCAGAGACTGCTGCCTGTTCCTCAGAATATGTCACAATCCTGACACTTTCCCTTGGGTGGGAGATAAGTTTGTGGGGATGGATGGTGGGAGTTTGGAGGTGTTAGTTGGAGGGTGTAGGTGGCTTCATTTCTTATTCAAGGGAGGTCACCAAGAAAGAACCTGTTTCTGCCAATATCTATAAAATCCCTGCAAGGTTTAAAGCTCTCAGAGAATGTCGAGGGGTTGCCTCAAATGATCGAAAGCAGAAACATAAAAAAAAGGCCGTTCAGCCCTCTGAGCCTAATCTGCCATTCAATTTGCTCATGGCTGATCATCCAGCTCAGTATCCTGTTCCCACTTTCTCCCAATACTTTTTGATCCCTTTAGCCCTAAAAACTATACCTAATTCCTTGGCCTCAACTGCATTCTGTGGCAAAGTCACAGGCTCACCACTCTCTGGGTGAAGAAATTTCTCCTCATCTCATTCCTAAATGGCCTACCCCTTACCCTTAAACTAAGGCCACTGGTGCTAACTGGCTAAGCAAGACATTAAGAAAGAGAAATCCATCAAACTTCACTACTTTCTGATTGAGGTCATGTAGCTCCCAAAAGAGAAGTGTTCTGAAAGACATGACAATGGTCTAAAGTTGTCCTCCAATGACTAGAAGCTTTGTGGGTACACCAGAAGAACTCCAAAGATTGAAGGGGAAAAGCCAATTGCGATATTACCTCACTTCCACTGGACCACTTTACTAGTGCTTCTTTATAAGTTGTTATCAGAATGCAGCTGTAGAAAGAACAGCCAGTAGGCTGACAATCATTACCATTCTATGAGGAAATATTTCACCACCATTTAGGCAATTAGTCTTTCATCGTACTGCTCTCTGTAGTTTGAGGGCAGTATTTCTCTATAATAATATAGTATGAATGAATAAAATTAGTACTACCATTTCTGCACCATCTCTGATAAGAAAAAATTGAGCACATTGGTATCTGAATGTTTTTAAGACTGGTGAACACTCCAAAAGGGAGTTTACCGTCTGCTAATGTCTAAAACAACAGAAGAAATTTGCAATTATTTCTAGGCATTCCAGTTAACATTATAAGACGAATGGCATGTGGCATGCACAGTTTGCTTCACTGCAAAGTTGTAACAGCTTTGGATAGACTGAAAACTGCTTGATATATGGTAACAGTGCCACACCACAAAGACTGTTGCCCCCTCGATGCTACAGGTGTATGTGTGCAAATGAGTTGCCATCAGTAAATGAACGGAGGTCAACACTTTTATAAACTTGTACAAAGCATGTGATACTGTAGGAAGGTCATGGGGATCAGATTTGAAAGGTCAGCCATCCAGCTGATAGATAATGTGTTGTGTTAAAATTCTTTCAAAAGAGACAAGAGGGTGTTATTTACCAAGAAGAGGGGACACTGTGGATGATCAATGGAAATTAGCCAGTAATTGGGCAATGAGAAAACACATGCATGATTTTTCACTTACATTCCATTTTGTTTGAAACCTTTTATTATTTTGAAGTTGATACACATTTGAAAATAAATCACTGCAAAGAAGACTATACAGAAGTTTATCCTTCACTCCTCTAACGGCTGAGCAGTATGTGTCTCTTGCTGAACCTAATTCTTTTGCATCCTTTTCCACCAGCAATTAACTCCCAACTGATTTCTACACCAACTGAGAAGAGCTGCAGACATGAAACTGCCAGTTTAAGCCCCAATGTCACCACATCCAACCACCCAACTGCTTAGACAATTGTTTCCTGCACCAGCAGTAATATGTACCTGTTGGCTTTAGGAACATATGGAGCTTAGCATTCGTGTGTCTGGAATAAACATTCTAATTAAAAGCATAATGAGCTCAATTTTTAGTTGATTGAAAACAAAAAAATATAAATCTATGCTGCATACTCTGTTATAAATATAGTTCAATGATGTTTAAAGTCATCTGCAATATGTTATTTCTGTAGGCCTTGGGTTATAGTGTTCTTGAAGAAGTTGCCATCAGATGCAGTCACCCAACTAAGGTTATATGGAGGCTTGAATTTCCCAAGGGTAGGAAGGGGTGGTGAGTGTTACATGCCTGCCCTGAATGAGGATCTGTATCACACCAACTGACGCTCAGCAAAGCTGCTCTGCAATAACATATCCCAGGGTGGCCTTAAACAAGTGAGCACCAGATATCATGAACCCTTCCTTCACCAACCCATTCACCCTGCCGGCCACACTCCCCCACCCCACCCATCCTGGCTTCCATTGGAAGGAAGCCCTCTCCTTATATGGCATTCCCAGCAGCACCAGACCCTGGTAGTGGGTATTGATGGGGCTACAGGAAAACCACTGGAGGAAAAGTAGTGGTTAGAATCCCGACAGTGTGGAAAGGGGGCATTTTGCCCATCAAGTCTGCGACAACCCTCTGAAGGGCATCCCAACCAGACTCAGTCCCCATCCCTCCCCCTATCCCCATAATCCTGCTTTTTACCATGGCCAATCCTCCTAGCCTGTTCATCCCTAGACTGTGGGAGGAACTGAAGCACCCAGCAGAATGCCATGCAGACATAGGGAGAACATGCAAACTCCACACAGACAGTCGCCCAAGGCTGGAATCAAACCTGGGTCCCTGGCACTGTGAGGCAGCAGTGCTAACCACTGAGCCACCGTGCTGCCTATCTGGTTCTCAGATTAAGATAAATTCGAGGCTTTAGGTTGGGAAAGGATTGGGTTCCTTGGGCTGGGAAGTGGGGAGTGGGTTTTGAAACCGAGGTGGGGAGAAACAAAGTGAGAGTTAATATCTTGGGATATGTCCTCCACACACACAGGACAAGTTCCTTCCCCAGCCCACACTAAAAACTGCACCTCTCCCTTCCCACATTTTCCACAGTTATTTAAGAAAAAACTTTTGGGTCTTACTTGCCCCACACCAACTACTATATGGCATGGACAATGTACTATTTGGGTCAACTGCCTTATTCACAAACTCAATTGCCACTGAATTTTTTGGTTTAGTTAGTGGGGCAGGTTGCCAATTTGAGTTGGCTAATCATTTGACTTTACTTGGTTCACTCCCATTCCTCATCCCTCTCTGGAGATTCATCCAATGGCGGGAGCCATAAAATCTAGCCTCAAACCTCATTTAGATATCCCCAAATTTTAGCTGATAAGTTTCCCGTGAAGCATCTTTAAACATTTTATTATATAAAATAGCTGATGCTGTCTTATTTGCACTCCAGGAAATCTTACGAACAATCAAAGATTTAACTCTGTGTTTCTCAAAGATTTTTTGCACTTTTAATTATCAGGGTGAGTTGGGAGGGTTAGGAAGTATCTGTTGTTGTTCCAAAGTTATTCTGCATATGTGGTTACTAATTCTTGGGCCAGCTTTCAATAAAATTTCTTCGGTAATTTTCTGAGGTTAGCCCTTATCGCGATAATTTTATATTTAGTCGTGCAGAAATGCAGGCAACTTGAAAATTGTGACTAAGACTTCTTAGCCACCAATTATGGGATGGTTTTTCACATTGAATTAGTCAATATGATTTCTTTCATTGAAGCAGTGAGGTGAGAGAATTTTAAACTGTTCAAGATTCCAGAGCCGTGGGTATTCTCTGTGTCAGGTTACAAATGAAACCAAGAAATGGTTTTCCATTCCTCAGCCATGACAGAACCTCCAGGTTCCCAGAGCGTGTGTAACTCAAAAACAATCCAGTTGTTCAAGTAACTTTTGTTTCATTCATTGACAAATATGTAACTGCTCATACGCACAATACTCAAAACATAAGCTTGTAATAGAAAACCGTAAATAATATTTCTGATTTTAAAGCAGAGATTCTTCATGAGCTGGGTTCTGGAACTGTCTGCTTAAAAGGAAAACAAAATCACATTCACTCCTCACTTTGGCCCAGAGGATGCATTCTTAGCAGCAGCTGTACCCTGCAAATATGTGTATATTTCTCCCCCCACAAGACATTTATATTCTTTCC